CATTGTGAAAATACTTCTACGAGAATGTTTTATCGAAAACGTGAGAAAACATCAAGAAAGCAACAAATATTTTTTTGTTTTAACCCTGCGATATAGAAGGAATAGGAAATGGCCATATAGAACTATTTTAAAATGTATCAGCCGACCCGGTCTAHGAATCTATTCTAACCATCAATGCATTTCTAAGATTTTAGGTGGAATGATGATTGTAATTCTTTCTATTTTTCGTGGTATAATGACAGACCGAGAGGCTCAACGAGAAGGAATCACAGGAGAAATTGTGTGTTATATATGGTGACCCTTCTGATATCCAAATTGGATTCGTAACTTCCTATTTGTGGAAAAGAAAGAGGAAATACAAGATGTTTAATATCACTCCTCCTCCATTAGTTGATACTTCAAGGGGGTTGCTTGGAATGAAAGAACACAAATGGATTCATGAAGTTTTAATCACCGAATCACTTCCCAACGGTATATGCCCCGGGTTCGTTTAGATAATGAAAGTATGATTCTAGGTTATGTTACAGGAAAAATCCGATGTAGTTTTCTATGAATACTACCAGGAGATAGAGTCAAAATCGAAGTAAGTCGTTATGATTCAATCAGAGGGCATATAGTTTATAGACTCCGTAACAAAGATTCDAACGATTAGGTGGCTTTTTCAACATTCTCTTCATGGGGATTACAATTCGAGGTTCAAAATTTCAAGAGACTTATTTTCTTCCGAAGCAAATAGTATATTCAGAATTAAGGTAAGGAAKAACAAATATGAAAATAAGGGCCTTTATTCGTAAAATTTTTGAATAATGTTGACTGATTCGTAGGCGGGAACGAATTATAGTAATTTGTTCTAACCCGATACATAAACAAAGACAAGGATAATCTTTCTAAAAAGGGACTCTCTAAAGAATCCGATGTACAAATAAAGAATCTGTTTTGACATGAAATAGATGTATCCGTATATCTCTAACTCATGTTTGTGAGATGATCAAATATGGCAAAACCTATACCAAGAATTGGTTCACGTAGAATACCAAAGGGAGTTTTCATGTTCAAGCAAGTTTTAACAATACCATTGTGACTGTTACAGATGTACGATGTCGAGTAGTTTCTTGGTCTTCTACCGGTATTTGTGGATTCCGAGGTACAATAAGAGGGACACTATTTTCCGCTCAAACCGCAATAGGAAATGCTATTCGTACAATAGTGGATCAGGATATGCAACGAGCAGAAGTCATGATAAAAGGTCCTGGTCTCGGAAGAGATGCAGCATTACGAGCCATTCGTAGAAGTGGTCTACAATTAAGTTTTGTACGGGACGTAACCCCTATGCCACATAATGGATGTAGACCTCCTAAAAAATGACGTGTGTAGAAATAAGAATGGAACAGATTTCAAGAGAAATAAATGATTCAATGATCTGATCAAATAATATTATTATGGTTCGAGAGGAAATAACAGTATTTACTCGGACACTACAGTGGAAGTGTGTTGAATCAAGAGTAGACAGTAAGTGTCTTTGTTATGCACGTTTTATTTTGTCTCCGCTTATGAAAGGTTAAGCTAATATGATAGGCATCGCGATGCGAATGGCTTTGCTTGGAGAAATAGAAGTAACATGTATCACACGTGCAAAATCTGAGAAGATACCACACGAATATTCTACCATAGTAGGTATTGAAGAATCAGTACATGAAATTTTAATGAATTTGAAAGAAATTGTATTGAGAAGTAATCTGTATCGAATTCGCGACGTGTTTATTTGCGTCAGGGGTCCTGGATACGTAACTGCTCAAGACATCATCTCACCACCTTCTGTGGAAATCGTTGATACTACACAACATATAGTTAGCTTGACATAACCAATTGATTTGTGTATTGGATTACAAATCGAAAGGAATCGTAGATATCGTTTGAAAACACCAAATAACTCTCAAGRTGGAAGTTATCCTATAGATGTTGTATTCATGCCTGTACGAAATGCGAATCATAATATTCATTCTTATGGGAATGGGAATGAGAAACATGAGATACTTTTTCTTGAAATATGGATGAATGGGAGTTTAACTCCTAAAGAAGCACTTCACGAAGCCTCCCGGAATTTGATTGATTTATTTATACCTTTTCTAGATGCGCAAGAAGAGGACATCMAATTAGAGGACAATCAAAACAAGGTTACTTTACCTTTTTTTAHCTTTCATGATAGATTAACTAAACTAAGGAAAAACAAAAATAATAACATTGAAATGTATTTTTATTGACCAATCAGAATTGCCTCCCAGGACCTATAATTGCYTCAAAAGGTCCAATATACATACATTATTGGRCCTTTTGAATARCAGTCAAGAAGATCTTATGAAAATGTTCCATTTTCAGATAGAAGATGTAAAACAGATATTGGACATTCTACAAAAGCATTTCGCAATTGATTTACCCAAGAATAAGTTTTAAATCCATTGCATTTATTTCATCTTTTTTTTTGTTTATAAAATTTAAAAAGAAAATGGATTTTGAATCTTCAACACAGTCCATATATTCAGACTAGATCCAGAAAGATAAAAATAKAATAGATGTATCTAGGGAATAATCACTTCAAAGCAAATCCTCCCTAGATACATACATCGTGATATTTTATTTCATTTCATGGTTGAATCAATTTAAAAAAGACCTAAAGTTAGAGATTTATCAATWGGTAATGTTGCTCCAATACCCAACCAAAGGGCTACCGCGATACCGATCAAAAWGACGGTTGTAGCTACTGGACGACGAAATGGGTTTTGGAATTTATTAACATTCTCCAAAAAAGGTACTGTCAATAATCCCGCAGGTACTGAAACCATTAAAAGAACACCCAATAATTTATTGGGTACTATACAGAGTATTTGAAATACGAGAAAAAAGTACCATTCGGGTAATATTTCCAAAKGAGTTGCAAATGGATCTGCTGGTTCACTAACCATTGGTGATTCTAGAACCGCTAAACCTACATTACATGCAATAGTACCTARAAGAGACATTTGGAATAGCTACCGGGCGGTCTTCATAATAGAAGAGACATTTGGAATAGCTACATTGTAGTTAAGTAGTAACTACCTAAGCCACAAAAGACGCTTTTTGACCAATAGCTACATAAACACATATTACATTTTTGCCCTTTTTGATTGAGAATAGTATCTGCGGCTACTGCTGCTTTACCGGTCTGTCTGTCCCCAATAATTAATTCTCGCTGACCGCGTCCTATAGGGATCATCGAATCAATAGCAATAAGCCCTATTTGAAGAGGCTCATATACAGAACGTCTCAAAATAATACCTGGAGCAGGAGATTCAATTAACCAAGATTCAGAAGCTGAAATTTCACCCCTACCRTCAATAGGTTTAGCCAGAGCATTTATAACACGACCCAAATAAGCCTCGCTTACAGGTATCTGAGCAATTCTTCCTGTTGCTTTTACWGAACTTCCCTCTTGTATCATCAAACCATCACCCATTAATACAACACCAACATTATTTGATTCCAAATTCAGAGCAATGCCTATTGTACCCTCTTCAAATTCTACTAA